TCCCAACAATTTTCACATTATGTTTGACATTGTTTATTGCAAATATTTTTAATATAATCTGCAAACCTATTTTCTTTTGATGATTTATTCATTTATACTGCTATCAAAGAACTATAAATATTCTTATATGTGTTCACTGTTTTATGGCTTTTTCTCTTTTCTTGCTTTTTATTAGTTTGATCAAATATATATGTCTTTTCCCCTGAATGTGTATTTTTTTAATTTATGGATTCTATGCCTTTTTTGCATGTACCCAAAAAATAATATGTGCATAATTACTTAAAATATTCTTCAGTTAACTAACATCTCTTCTTATATACCCCAAATGTATGTAAGAACTCAATGCCCCCCATTCAGTCTTTTTTATGCCTCACCCTGTTTCTAAGTCTCTAAACTTAGTCCTCTGGTTATTGATGCTTTATGCAAAGAAAACTTGCATAGATCTGTCCATTTGAGTTTTCTTGCTCACAGTTGTATCTTGGATACTATTCTGTCTTCCTAGATTCAGTTTGAAGCTCATGGAGGAAAACCCTTTATTACTTTGTGTGAGTATCTAAAATCATGTTGGCTGTCCAAAAATATCTTTCTTTTACCCTTCTCCATAATTAGGTGAGTATGAAAGTTAGGTTGACAATGCTTTTATATGAGGAATTTGATGAAGTTAGTCAATGACCTATAATCTCATTTTTGCTGAAGAAAAAGTCTGTTTTCACCCCAATTGCTGTCCTTCTGCAGGTGGGGGGGGGTCTGCTTTTGTCATTGTTGTTTTAGGGTTTCCAGTTCTTTCAGCATTGGACAGTGGCTCATAATACATGTAGAGATTATTTTATCTATCTTGTTTGAGACTCATTTCTTGCTTCATCTGATGTTGTGTGAGCTTCATGAATTCTGGAAGATCTTGACTGTTTTTCTCTTTACTGTTGCTTCCACACATGCCCTAACTGAACCATTCTCAGCTTCTAGGATCCTCATTCTTTTGCTTATATTCTTCTATCTTGCATCTCTAGTAACTTTTTGTATTGATCTTATCAATAAGCCAACACGGCTCTATGTCTACCATCTTTAAAAGGGTAGTCCCTTGATTCCATACCTCCCTTAAGCTATCTTATTTCCCTGTATGGTATTAAACCCAAAATTCTTGCTGCATTACTTGGAATTGAACCTAAAGCTTCATGAAAGCTAAGCATATACCACTGAGCTATATTTAAATATCTCTTTTTTGCTTTTCACATTTGTTTTCACCATTTTAATATAATTTTTCTTTATTCTTGAAAATTAATTTTATGCATCAATATAATGAAATCTGATCATATCTACCCCTTACTTAGGAGCTATTGGCAAGTGGTAGCTAAGAAAAGGAGAATTATTCTTTTTCAGGTCATAGGTAGATTCCTGTGCTCCAGTGGGTGCTCTATACCATGCACATATGGATAGCACTCATTGGACTTGGTGATAATCTTTGACTTTTTATTTTGCGACAATCCCACTAAGTTGCCCAGACTGGCTCTGAACTTTCAATCCTCCTTCCTCAGACTCTCTGAGCCACCAGGCCTGACTACCCAAACTTCTTAGGGGATTTTCTGCACATTTCTCTAGTTCTCTATTTCCCACTTATTCTTAAGTTCCCTTAAATCTGGGTTTAGTCTCTTAAGAGACTATTCCTGACAAGGTTGCCAGTGACGTCTATGTTCCTAAATGGACAGATGGTACTTCCCTAGTTGAATCTCTTACCAGCATTCGACCTGATGGTCCCTCTTTCCCTCAGTCTTCACTTGGTGTCTGAAACATTTCACTCTCTTCATGTCTTTGTGTTATGTAACTGAAGAAGGACTAGATATTCTCTCTATCTCTCTCTCTCTCTCTCTCTCTCTCTCTCTCTCTCTCACACACACACACACACACACACACACACACACACACACATACATTTTGTTTTCAGTTCCTTATCCCAAGCACTTTTTATCCATTTTCCCAATTTAAAACACCATCTATTTTTTTAGGGATTCCCATATGTTTATGTGCAACTGTGCAACTTATACCCCTCTTCTAAGCTGAAAAATCTGTGCAAATTCCTGCTAGACACTAACACTTTGACACTGTAGCACTCTCCTTAGCCTACCCAAAACCAATTCTTAAACTTCCCCCTAAAAGAGAACTTCTCCACCTCAGCAAGTGGTATCACCATCTACCTGGTTTCCAAGGGAGAACCTAGGAACCATTCATGATTCTTCTGTATCTCTTGGAGACCCACATTCACTCTATTACCAGGTCATGCAAATTCTATCTTCAAAATAGACCTCAGAGTAATCAGCTTCCCACCTCCACTGCCAGCATTCTGCTCCTAGCTCAGTTATTTCTCAACTAGTTTCCAAAACCCTTCCACTATTGATACCACGTTCAACACAGTGTTCAGAATAATCTTTGAAGCAGAATCAACTTCCTACTTGAAGTCCTCCATGAACTTCCTATTGTACCTAATTAATTTTTTAAATATTTTATTTATTTTTATATGCATGAGTGCTTTGCCTGCATGTTTGTAAGTGTACCTCTTGCATGCAGTGCCAGAAGAGGCCACAAGAGGATGTCCTGAACCTGGAGTTATAGACAATTGTTATCTGCTGTATGAGTGCTGGGAATCGAACTCAGGTCATCTGGAAGAAGAGAAAGTGTTCTTAACCACTGAACCATCTCTCCCACCCCCATTGTACCCAATTTAATACCGAGCCTACACTCATGAAGAAAGCCTGCAAGGTCCCATGTGAATTTCTCTTTCCTACCTTCTACCTCATTGTAATTCCTGTCCTTCTCCCTCTCTCTCTCTCTGGCAACCCTGGCCTTCAATTGTTCAATCACGTCAAACTCTTTGTTCCTTCTGCCCAGAATGTTCCTGCTCCATTCTCTATAATTAGCTCTTCTTTTTCATCGTTACCTCCAAGAACATCTGGGACCAGGCGTGGTGTTAGACTCCTCTAATCCCAGCATTTGTGAGGTAGAAGCAGGTGGATCTCTGTGAGTTCAAGGCCAGCCTGGTTTACATAGCAAGTGCCAGGCCAGCCAGAGCTACATAGTGAGACCCTGTCTCAAAAGAACAGACAAAACAAAATAGAACAGAACAAAACAAAGCAAAAAAAAAGGAACATCATGGAAAACAGTGGACTGTTCTAATTGTCTCTAGTAGTAACCTCGTCTTTTTTTTCTGTAGTCCTTTTAATACTATTTTTCTTATAGCTTATACAGTGTTTTATTATATTTAATTGATCATGTAATTTCAACAGCATAATAATAGTCTACTACCAAAATTAGCTGGCATCTTTAGTATTTTTCTAGTAACACTAATGGCTGCTGAATTTAGAAAATGTTCAAGTTTTAGTAGGACATTCTAATGGAGTTCTTTTAGTAGCAAGTTCAATTTCAGTGGGCCTCTAAATGAATCAGGGCATTCGTTCTCAGAAAATACAAGTGTTGCATGAATTCTCTGCTTTCCTACAAGAAGTACTTTGTCCTGTGTTGCCCACACAGAACACTTCTCCCTCTATTTTGAGAGATTGGCTTCATCATTTTTCAAAACAAAAATAGTATAATGGGCAACTTGATAAGCTGAAATACCAAAAGGCAATTCCAATTTTGTTTCATTGCACAGCAGACATAGTTACAGGTTACTCTTTCTGATTTGTGTGTTTGCTTTCTTTTACTGTCATTCAGCCATGAGTTCCACTGGAAGGGCTATTTGGCTTGCCACTCTCTGTAAATGCAACTGCCAACATGACCAAAGAGGCAAGATGATATAGTTCTTCCTTATGGAGAGCTCTCCTGAGCATCTTTCCAAACTGTGACCACACTTGTCATCTTGGTTTTCATTAACTATAAATAGTGTTTAATAAAGGAGCAGTGCATGGGCCCCCCATATCTGTTTGATCCTGAATTTGGAACTAGGAGAGAGGGGCCACAGTGTATAATATACCTGTACTAAATTGTAAAAAAATGCACTAATGAAAAGAGATTTCAGACAAAAAGAAATAATATTGCCTTAATTCCTCCTAGTTGTTAATTGAAGTTTAAAGAAGTTTTGAAAGGCCTAGGATAGCACACTGTGCTGATGTTGTGAAAATCCAGAGCCTTTTTGTGTGCATTTATATATTCCCCAATACACTGTCTGTGGTGGGTTTTGGCTCAACCTGTCCATATTTGCTAGCAAGGACTCCCTATTTATGCTTCTTGAACTTCTTCAATGTTAGAGAACAACTGTTTTGTTTTGTCTTAATTCATGGCTAAATATATGAATATTCTTATACTTGAATATTCTGAGACAAGACCATTCTTACTATTTAAGAACTGGTTGAGGCACTGACCAATGAGATCAGCATTTTACCCAACTAACAAAGGCTTCCAGCTTGTTCACCTGAAAGCCATTCTAAGGAATGCTGAATATAGCCCCTGTTCCTAGGGACAGCTACTCCACAGGCCCTATTTGGAGCCTGCATTTTCAGCCAACTCCTTTACTTTTTTAAAATGCCTTTTTCTGGAAGTAGCTCAAAGCCTTGGAACCTTTTAATTATCCCATAATCATGCTTTATTTATACCTGACTGGATAGTCTACAGATGGATGGAACAACTTCAGTCAAGAGGACACAGTAATTGACTTCTGCCTCCCAGAACTGGCTGAGCTAAATGCAGGTTGGAACAATCTGGCAACTAGCTCAGGCTATCTTGGTTTTGTACACACAGAACTTTGTTTGGGATATGAGAGAGTCCCATACCTCCGCTGATGGCATAACTCTGTAATCTCATTGTTTCCCTACATTCCTCTCTGACTGAGGTATGGTGATCAGTGGAGAATTTCAAAGATCAAAGTCTATCTCTGCTCCTTATAGATCAGTTTGCAACTCTGCCTCACTGGACAAAAAAGGCCCAGTGAGGGATGGGTCTTTCGTGGGTTTCATGTTTGAGGCCACCGGCATCAAGATGACTGAATCTTCTACACTGTTCTTTTTGGATCACAGGTGCACACGTTCCGAGGCCCACACTGGTGTGAATACTGTGCCAACTTCATGTGGGGACTCATTGCCCAAGGAGTCCGGTGTTCAGGTAGACACAAACCTTCTCCTTTTGAACTCACATAATGTACAACTTTGTTGAGGTGGACATCTCCTAAGAGCTGAGATCATGCCCAGATGAGCTCAAAAGTCTAGCTTGCTTAAGCATCCAAAGCTTCTCTCTACCTGTTGGGGAAACCATTCTAAGTGTTTGCAAGATTGAAAAAGAATATCATCTTACATCTATACGAGCATGGAAAAACACCAAGCAAGCAATAGTCCTTAAAAGAAAAAAAAAATTAAGTAAATTTTTGTAGAATTGCATAGATTTAAAAAAGAAAAGCCCTATTTCTTTCCCATTCCATTTTGCCATAAAAGGGAGGAAATAAAGAGAGCAAAAAAACTGATGAACATGGTAAGTATTTGCCATAAAAACCAGGCTAAGCACTTCTATTTACCATGCCATTCAACCTCACCATCAGACCTGAAGGAAGATGCAATTATCCCCATCAAATGAAAAGGAAGGGGCTTGAGAGATGGCTCTGCAGTTAAGAGCACTGGTTGCCCTTGCAGAGGACCTAGGTTCAGTTCCCAGCACCCACATGGTGGCTAACAACCATCCATAACTCCAGTTCTCTTCTGACCTCCATGATCATTGCCTGATGTGGGAACACTTACATGTATGTACAGACAATACACTCATACACATAATAAATAAAATAATTTTTGAAAATAAAATAAATGAAAAGGAAATAGAATCTTGTCTTTAGCCACATACCCAGGGGAAGAACATTGATTTAAAATCAGTAGCATTCCAGAGCCCACGTTCAGTATTTTTCTGCCATCAGATAGGTAGTGAAACTGCACACCTGATTTGATATTATATATTTCAAAGTGGTTTGAAACCCTAGGTATTTTTCCATCTAGAGTTGGCTATACATTGCCACTGCTAACATTCCGCAACATATTCCCTTAAGGCACATTAAACTAAATGGTAACAGGTTGCCAAATTTACATGTGAGCTGGGCTTCCCCACCCATTGTGCATGCTTTTCTGGGAAAGTAGTGGCACCTGGAGCAAGAATAGCCTCATCTGGTGTTAACTAGGTTTCCACTGACTTCATGGCTGCTTGCCTTCTTCTATTTCATTCACAGGATCACATAGTCTAGGTTTTTTTTGCCTGGAAGGTGCTTTCTTAGCTCCCGTTCTATAGATAAAGCCAACACCCATTTAGATACTTAAATCATGAGACTAGTTCTAGCTTTCTATCCCACATCCCAAGGCAGGTGGCAAACCTAACTCAGAGACAGTCTTTCCCAAAAGTTCTAACACCCTGATGAACACAAAACACTGACCTGCCAGGGCTCACAAAGCATTACACAGCCCAACCGCTGAGTGCAATGGTAAGCCATCTGAATTACTCTGTGGATTTGTTCAGTCTGTCTAGATTATACCTACCAAAAACATCTTTTGTTGCTGATATTACCCAGTTTCAGCAGGAAATTGGTCCAAAGTCAATATTATGAGAACAGAACTCTGGGCTCTATGTTAGCTGTAATCAGCAACTTTCTCTGGGATAAAAGGGCTCTGGGGTTTTTGTTTCTGTTTCTCTCTCTCTCTCTCTCTCTCTCTCTCTCTCTCTCTCTCTCTCTCTCTCTCCCTCTCTCCCTCTCTCCCTCTCTCCCTCTCTCCCTCTCTCTCTGTGTGTGTGTGTGTGTGTGTGTGTGTATTTGTAATAAAATACAGTCTAAGGCTACATTGTAAGTTTTCTCCAGTGGCTATTTTTTTTTTATCTAATATTTCTTCTGAAGAGCAGGAAGGCTGAAAACTGACTATCAAAAGTCAGGAAGAGTTGCCATTGCCCTCAGTTCTCCATAATGTAGATTTTATAATGATCCAGACTCTATTTGTAGCACATGGAGTTCATCAGTTTATGAAAATTTAATATTTTTAGACTCAGTACAAAACATCCTAATTTTAATAAGATCCATGTTTAACTCTATGCCGATAAACATATTGTTACTGAAGATCTTAAAGTTTGTAAGAAAATTAAACATAGAGCTGCCATGTGACCCAGCAATTCTACATCTGGACATCTGGACAAATACTCCCAAAGAACTAAAATGGTATCTCTAACAACATTTACATGCCTGTGTTCATAGTAGCATTATTCATAATCGTTGAAAGGTAGATATAACCCCAGTGTCCATTAATGGATGAATGATAATATAAATAAAATGTGGTATGGACATACATTGGAATATTGTTCAGTCATTAATAAAAGGTAAGAAAACCCAAACACTCCTGTACAATACAACAAAGGTCAAAGGAACCCCAGCTATTATAATCTAGGCAAGGCCCCTTGGCTCTGATACTAGTGAGTACAGGGTGTGTGTGTGTGTGTAAATAAATCTCGATATATGTCATAGTACAGATGAGCCCAGAAGACAATATGATCAATAAAATAAGCCAGTCACAAATTAAAAATTTGGTATGATAGCACTCTTATGAAGTACCAAAACAACCAAATTCCTAGTCAGAAGGAAGGAGGGCTCTGAGAACCTGGGGATGAACTTGACATGTTGCTGTTTAGTGGGTGTCAAGTTTCAGTTTTGCTGGACAAAAATAGCTCTGGAGGTAGACAGTAGTGGTAGCTATGCAACAGTGTGCATATTGCCACTGAACTATGCACTTAAAACTGGTTAGAATGGTGAATTTATGTTATATATACTTTTCTACAATTTAATAAAAATTTAAAATTAAGTTTGTAAGATGCAGTAAAAATTACTAATGAAAGATTAGCTAGGGAGGCCTGTATCTTCTATTGCCATGCAGGCTATGTGTTTTGTTGGGCTTAACCTTTGCACAGCTCTTAGGAGATGTCAGACATTGTGCTGTGCTCTTTGTATTTAGTTTACCCTCCTGATCACCCAGTGATAGTATGATCACCACTTTATAAAAGAGGACCCCAGAAAGGAAGCCAGCCAGCTCTATTTATTTAGCTCAGTTAACAACTTTACATTTACTAATTTTCATCACTAAGTAGATCTACCAAAATAAAACTGAATTTTTCTTGGACTTGGTTGAATTTCACATGTTAATAAAGCCAAGATGAACAGGTTTTTTTTTTTCTTAAAAAGAGAGATACAGAGAACTCAGCCAGGAAACATTATCTGAAAATAGCCTAGATATCACCATTGATGGTTTTACAGAAGTTAGAGTCTTTCAGAGCTTACTGTGGTTAAGTGCTGTCTTGTAAAGCAACTGACCAAAATAGTCATTATGTGCATATATTTTATATATACAAAAATATTATTCTTGGTAAAACACAGGAAAACAATAATAGAACACTTTAAATGAACAGTGCATTAACATTGAACAACATCAGCATTAAAATTTTATTTTCCAGAATGTAGACTATGCCTTTTAAGTCAGAGAAATTCCATCAGTGGATACCAAATGCTAACAAGGCTTTTAATTTGTGCACTGAACTTAAAACCACCTTTTCAGTTTCAGCTCTGTATATGAGCTTTATAAATAATTACTTTAATCATCACATTACATGTCATTGTCATAAGTTGCAAGCGCTTAGGCACTCCCACTGGAGTATAGTTAAGTATCACTTCTTTTCACAGGTGTCACAATACAGCAAGTAGACAGGGGTTGCATCCTCCAAGTGCCCAGCAAGGAGGAAAGGATTAGAAACTACAGGTCATTCTCAAGAACAGGCAAAGAGGATACCGTCAGGGGCCAGAGAGATGGCTCAGTGATTAAGAACACTGGCTGTTCTTGCAGAAGACGTGGGTTCGAATCCCAGCACCCACATGGCAGCGAACAACTGTCTGTAACTCCAGTTCCAGAGGCTCTGACAGCTTCTTCTGTCCTCTGCCAGCATTGCACGACATGGGTGCACTTACCTACGTGCGTCAATACATACATACACATAAAATAAAAATAATAAATATTTTTTTTAAAAAAAAGAGGATACAGTCATGAGCTCTTCAAATCAAAGATCAGATATTCCTGCATCACAGTTACTATATATCCCAGGAAAGGAGCATCAGGGACTTAAGAACAGAACCTAGAATAAGTATCAGTGCCCTTTATGAGCCATAACTAGCTTTGAGAATCCAAGCCCAAAAGCCCACTGTGGACCCACAGGGATCCAAGTCTAAAAGGGAAAGCTTGCAAGCAGTCGGGCCAGTGACCTGACTTCTGTTCTTCTGGTCTAGCAAAAGAAAAGGGTTAATGAGGACAATGCAATTGTATAAGAATTCAGTGAGTCAAAATGAATCTATACTCTAGTGGTCAGCATCATCTCCTAAGGAGATGGTTATTCCAGAGAAGTCCAGCAAAACTTTGGGTGTTTTTATGTATATTTTGGTAGCATACAGTTTGTCTTGGACTTTGACAAAAGGACTCAGCAAGGTTAATGTGGCTTCTTTGTTTACAGACTGTGGGTTGAACGTACATAAACAGTGTTCCAAGCATGTCCCCAATGACTGCCAGCCTGATCTCAAGAGAATCAAGAAAGTGTACTGTTGTGACCTCACCACTCTCGTAAAAGCTCACAATACACAGAGACCCATGGTGGTGGACATATGTATTCGGGAAATTGAAGCAAGAGGTTTGGAAAATATTATTATTATAGTGATTTATTTTCTCCTTTGTTCACCGTACTGTGCTTATTGAGACAATGACCTGTACACACACAAAAACACACATACAGATAAACAGGCTACAGCCAACTAATAGCATCAATTTCCATTTCCTGTATAAGCCATGTGTGTCCATTCATCAAATATTTGTTGAGCATTTATTATCAGCTAGATATTGATGATCTGAAAGTCATCATACTGTATGAATTCATACTGTAGTACAGTAATCAGAACAGTAATTAAACATATATAGGGTTGCCTCAAATCACCATGGGGTCACAGAGGGAAATGTCTTCACCTTGCTTAAGAACCATAAATAAGGTACTTGTTTGCTCATCTGTGAAGTGGGTGGAATCAGTTGTACCCCATAATTGGTACTGGGGATTCAAACAAATCTGTGCACATAAATGACTGAGTACAGTGCCCAATGTGCAGGGCTCACCCTGGAATGTACACCTGTATTAGTTACTTTTCTCATTGCTGTCACAGAATACCTGACAAAACCAACTAAAGGGTGGGGGGGTCGCTTCTGGCTCAGAGCTTGAGGGTACAGCCCAGCATAGTGAGGAAGGTGTGGCTGCAGGACCATAAGGTGGCTGGTCACACTGCATCACCACCTGGAAGCAGAGAGAGATGAATGCTGGTGCTAACCTCACTTTCTTCTTTTAATTCAGTCCAGAATGCTAGCCCGTGGGATGGTGCTGCTCACATTCAGGGTAGATCTTCCAACCTCAATTAAACCTCTCTGGAAACAGCTCCTCACATACAATCCCAGAGGTTTGTCTCCTAAGTGATTCTAAACCCCTATCAGACTGACAATCAAGATCAACCATTCCTCCAACTCTCCAAACTCCACATTTCTTTCTGTCTGTCAGGCTCTATAAGTCTGTGTTTCAGACACAGACTTATAGTGTTTATAACAAGATAGACACCTATTTATCTCTCCAGTAATGATCCAGGTACCAGGGAAGAGTTCAGGACTTACTGAGCTGCTCCTGGATGACAGGAACCCGGGCCTACAGTTTGCTCTGTCCTGCTGGAGCACTGCCCTCATCTGCATGACCACTGTTGGTTGCCACCACCTCATCTGTGACCAAGAAAAGGGGGGAAGAACAGCTCTTTTCCTTTAAGAGGGCCACCACCCAGAGGCTGTACACATTGCTTTTGCTGTCTTTAGCCAGATTTTACGGCCACTGCAGTGGATATTGCTTTGAAAATCCAAGGGTCCATTAGAGTAGAGGAGGAAGAGAGAATGAATATTAGAAGGGTAGCTTTCAGTCTCACTGCTCCACAAACTCCATCCCTCAGGATGCCCCCAAAGAACAGCTCCCCAGGGAGGTCTCCCCAGGCCTTCTCAACCTTCAGGGCTGAGTGCCCACCACTGTGTGTTCCCATAAACTGCTATGACCTTGTTTCTGCAACAGTGCATGTCCCAACCTTACTGGAATGAGCTTTCAGGTACCACCTGGAACAAGATGGTACCCAGGTTTCATTTTGTGGGACACTTCCAATTATCAGGAGCAGTAATGTCAACAGTAGATACTGAGACACGGGAGCTGAGGTCAGCTAAGCATGCCTGTCATGGTCACAGGAAAGATCAGGGACATTCATACCATTCAATGTCTCTGGTGTAAACGAATGAAGACTTGTATGTATACAGCAAATAGTGCATATGCAACAAAATTCAAATTTTAAAACCAGGAAATTATGTGAGTCATCAAGGGTTTGACAGAATGCACCGTTTACTTACTTTGCTGTAGCTAAAGTTTTGACAACAGCTCAGTATTGATATACAGGATCTAATAAAACCTGGTCTTCTAAACCTTGTGCTACTTTTGATTTTATATGTCACCCAGTGGGTGTAGAGAACATCTAGGTTTTATCATGTATCTAACAAATCAATAAGCTCAAAGGGGCAGAAACAGAGTCTTCTTCTAAGCCTACACATACAGTGATTAATTTTCTAGCATCATTAAATAGAATTTAATTTTTCCACATCTGTTTGTATGCTTAGCTATTTGAAGGTATAAAATTAAATCAATCATACTTAGTAATTTAACATGTTGTCTTATGATTAAAAGATAAAATGATGCAAAATTTAGATTTCTGCAATACAGCCAGGATAATATGCATTACACACATTCAAGTGTGAATGTATGTACACAGTGGCTATGTGTAATATACCACATGTATGAGGAAGATGTGAGAGAGAAAGCCAGGCTCTGCCTGCACCACTGAAGTGGATGTATAGCAGGCTGGCAAGAAAGGAGGTCAGGGCTACAGTGAGAGAGAATCTTAAATCTCAGCTCACTTTGCCCAGCCAGGCAGAAAGAAAACCTAGAGCCCTTGAGATGGATTTCTAACAACCAAATGAAGACAGACTCCCATAGAAATAGACAGGCAAGTCCACGCTGTGTGCAATAGGCATGGCATAGATCACTCGCTGAATTTGTTCATTTCCTGATAACACTCAGCACAGATATGAAATTAGACTCTTATGAGAAACTGAAGTTAAAATCTCTCCCTCCCTCTCCTGCTCTCCCCTAACCTACAGGATTAAAGTCAGAAGGGCTTTACAGAGTCTCTGGATTCACAGAACACATTGAAGATGTCAAGATGGCATTTGACAGAGGTAAGCTTGTACTGCCTTTAATGCTACCTAATTTATCCCAGTGCTCTCTTTGCTGGTGTGAGAGTTCACTTATAGGGGAAATGGGGGTTGGGAACTACAGAAAGTAGTTCTACAAGAAGTGGAATCATCATGCTTTTTTACTGAATTTTTGCAAATTTCATACAATATATCATGATTGTATTTAGACCCTCTCCCCTATCTAAAGCCCCATACAGGCTCCCCCACTGAATTTCATGCATTCTGTTATATATGTTAAGACTTATTGAGCCAAGTTTTTTGTCCCCAAATGTCCCTCAGTGTGAGTCCATCCATCGGAGCCTAATCAACTGATCTAGTGTCACTCCCTTAAAGAAAACCCATTCTCCCTTTCCTGGTAGTCATCAGTTACCAATAGTTCCTCAGCTAAGGTTGGGATTTATTATCCATTTCTCCACTTCTGTGCTGGGTTTTTTTTTTTTTTTTTTTTTTTTTTTTTTTGTCTTGTGCATGCTGTCACCACTGCTGTAAGTTCTGTAAAATCATGGTTTAAAAAGCTTCTGGTCCACCTCTCTCTGGAAGAAGAGTTTCCTTAGACTGTGGTCAGGACACCATATGAAGAGGAGAGCTTGAAAGACTATTTAAATGAGCAGCCAGGCATACTCTGGTACCCTCTGCATCCTCCTTTCAGGATCTCGTTGATGACTTCTGTCTCAAAGCTCCGAAAAGGGAGCTGGGATGGAAAAGTCCTCAGCACTGAAGGAGTGGAAGTGAGTGGAGTTCAGGAGCTAACTCCTTTAGCGACACACATTGTACAGAGTGCATTATCTCTTAGCTGATCGTATTGTCAGATATGTAAATCATCACAGTCTGGCCTAGGAACTCATTTAGAAGGATGGATGAACCTGAGAATCTATTTTTCTGATGAAGAATCTGTGATTCTAGCAATGTCAGCAAATGCTGAAGCCCTGGCCTGCTGCTTGTGCACAGGTTGTTGGGTGATGAGGTCCTCTTGCCTGTCAGGCTCATCTTTCCAGCTTCTCCCTCAAATGTAAACTCCTCCTCACCACTCCAGCACTCAGGAGGAAGCTCCTTGTTCACATGGATCCGTCCACATAAAATGTGTACACATCGGGAAGTTAAGTCTTTCATCTTTCATGAAGTCTTCCTGACTACCCCAAGCTGAAGAAGATTTGTTCTTCCGTTTCTTCTTCCTACGTCCCCCACCATCTTCTGCACATCCCCACACTTCATCTCACTCAGTCCATTGAGCTATGCACCTTACTCCCACTAGAGTTTCTCAAGGGGCTGTGCCTCTTTCCTTGTTTGATGCCCCAGGCCATACTGTGCTTGACATGCAGTACATACATATACCACACATACATGACATGTAAACCAAATATATACACCACACACATATATCACATGTACACCACACACATAGCACACATATAACACACATATACCACATACATATACCACATACATGCACCACATATGTACACAAAAAAAGCCTTAAGAATGAGCATAATAATAGCGAGAAATATAACCTCACCTCTGCCAGGGGAGGAAGGGTCGAGATCAACGAATTCAGTGACCCTGAAATAGACATTGGAAACTGAAGAAGTGCAATGGTTATTTATGTATGTGACCTTCCAGTCCAAGGCCAAAGAATACTGGTAAAAACAGTAGAGTGTCTGATTTTTTAATCTATAATAAGCACACAACAACAGGTCTCTTAATAACATTTGCATATATGTATGTCACTGTACTTCATTTTGAATTAGATTGTTACTCTCTTACAAATTTGTGTGCCTGCAATATGAATTTCTTAGATAAATTTCTGTTTAGCACACAATCAGTGAATTGTTTCTGGTCTGCTCTGTTGCCTTCTTGTCTGTCCATACTCTACAGGGCCTAGTCTGCTCTCACCAAGCTTTCTGTTACCTCCTGCATAGTGGAGACTTGCCTGGGCATAGTCACTACTAGATCTTTTTCTTGTGTATGTTTTAACTTGGTTAAATAAGGTCTAATTAGGACTTGGACCATTGACTGTTTTTCAGATGGTGAAAAGGCAGATATCTCTGCCAATATCTATCCAGATATAAACATCATCACTGGAGCCCTCAAACTGTACTTCAGAGATCTACCCATCCCCGTCATCACATATGACACTTATTCCAAATTTATAGAGGCGGCAAGTAAGTATGGAGGACTAAATGTTTATTTGTACAAAGAAAATTGGCCTCATGGAAATTAAAACTCAGAACCCTTTAAAGGTTTACATGAGCATTTGTTTTGCCGAGTGAAGACCCAGAAGTGCAGTTAATGGAAAACCAGGCAGCACACACCAGCTGAGCTGAGTCCACACCCAGCCAACTCTACAGGCAGAAGCTGAGTGCCAGGCTACTCTGTCCCCATCGCTCCCTGTATTCTGAAAATGAACACAGGCAGCCTGTTTGCTGAAAGTGTACTTTTATAGTAAGAAGTCAGTGATCTCCATAGAGGGAGAAACTAACCACTTTCATCCATTAGGCAGAGTCACACAAGAAGTCAGTTAAAACCACATCCAATTTTTACAATTCATGCTGTTCAAATTGAATAAATGGAACTCAGTAGAGCGGTGCATAATTCTAGCACGAGGGAAGCAGAGTCAGAAGGATCTGGAGCTCAAAAGTCAGCCTCTGCTTTTGTAAGCAGTTCCAGTTTCAAATCAGTCAGTCAATCAACCCATCAATCAATGGCTAAGAATAAACAGTATATACTATGCTAAGACCTCTCACTAGTGTCTTCTAGTTTAATCTTCTTAATCTAACCCATGAAGCAAAGATTAGAACCTGATTTCAGAGAGCAGAAACTATAGCATGGAGAACTGAACTGCCAGGTCAAGGACAGCATTTCTTCCATCAACACAGAGTTTCTCATTCAGTGCTGACCAACTGAGCCCACTGCTCTGGGAGAGAGTGAGTGAAAGGGAAATGTCAGGAGGAGGGATCACACTTTGTCCAGATACAGGTGTTGTTGAAGAAGGATAAGTTCAGATGCTGAGATGCATGGGATAGATGTTCAGCCGTCTTTGAGGATCTTGATTTGGTATTCTGGGGTGCTGTGTGTCATTACTGGTAGAAATGTGTAAGATGCCTGACAGAAGGAAACAAGAGCCTGTTGAGATTCGTGCACAATGCGCTTTGCACATGAGCTATGGTCCTGCCCCCTGATAAGACCATTCCTTCCTGGGTTCTGGTGGTCCTGGGCAGAAAAGGCACTAGCAGCTGGATACTTTGTACCCCAGGAGGAATGGCAGGAGGGCTTTCTTTGAGTGCTTGCCAATACCTATCAGAGGCCCAAAGTCCACATTCTCTTCCCCCCATTGTTAATGTGCCTAGTATCTGCTTCCTAACCTAGGCTTCATACCAGGGTTAACTATTGCAATGCTTTGGTGATAAGTACCTTTAATGCTGACGTTGTTGGTAAGACCCATCTGCCAATGTCCTTGCGTTGAAAAAATGTATTTGGTTAGGAAAGCCTGTGAAGGAAAGCTTTATTAGACAACTTCAAGGGCATAGAGTACTAGCTATACATGGTGCAGACAAAATAATAGCTTGCGATAGATTCAACAAATTCCAAGTTCAGAAGGGAAACACATACTCTGTGCATATTATACTAGAGATTAAGCATTCTGCAGGACTTGTCACTCTGCAGAGAGCAAGTACATCAACCACCCAGGTCATAGTTGTTCATTAAACATACAGTACACAGTTGCAACTTTTTTTCTGGAATGAGGTAGGACACAAGCAAACCGATTAAGTGAAACAATGTCTGAAATTGTATGGATTTATTAGACCTTCCCAGTAATGGCTAAGACAAACAAAACAGACTTCTTGCTGCTCCTCTTCAATATTAATGTCCCAGCTCAGTTGACTTATGTACCCTTCACAGAAATCTCCAATGCAGACGAGAGGCTGGAAGCTGTCCATGAGGTGCTCATGCTGCTGCCTCCTGCCCACTATGAGACCCTACGATACCTGATGATCCATCTCAAAAAGTAAGCCAAGGCGTCTCTTCCTGTCCTGCTCCTGATAGACCCCAGGGGCAATAAGGCATTAGGGAAATTTGGCAGTCTTCCTAACTCTGGAATGAACAGAGACCCCTTTTGCAGAGAACAGTGGCTGCTTTCCTTGGGCCAGCTCCAGTCATGGTTTCTAGAGCCCACATGGCTAAGAGTTGCTCTGTGCATCCCCAAGAAGGTGGTTACCAGCAGGGGCCTCAGGTTACACATAAGATTGTTGAAGCATAGGCTAATCCGAAGAGATGAATCTAAGATTGAAACCCAGGGCAAGTTGTTACAGGGCACGCACTCTGTTGACCATTTGTCTTGTTGCATGCATGACCACATCTTCCTCTAACACTGGCCTGTGTGTACTCTATGTTCTTCTCTTCCTCCTGATACACAGCTAACCTCAGCCTCCTGGGCTTGACTGCCTCCTGGTAGAGCACATTCCCAGCTGAATCTCACTGCTCTGAGTGTATGAGTTCTGTCTTCAAGAAATAAATTGCTCCCAAACTCTATGGTTTAAAACATGAAAATTTATCTCATTATCTCTGTGAGTCAGATATCTAGATGTGGCTTAGTAGGTGCCTGTGGTTCAGAATCCAGGTTGCAGTCTGACTGTCAGCTACTTGCAAGCTCACAACATGGCTCTTGGCAGAGTGTGGCTCCTAGGAGTCTCCTGGTCTGAAGGCCTCACTCTTTTCTGTGTGTTAGAGGCCACCTTCCATTCCACACTGTCTGGATTTTTCCACAGTAGCTCACAAAATGGCTACTGACTTTCCTCAGAACAAACAATTAATAGCACCCAAACTAGAACGCAGTCTTTGTAACCTCATCTCACAGTGGCACTGTGTTGCTTCTATCAGATTTTATTTGTTAAAAGAAAGTCACCATGTACAGCCCATACTTGCAGGAGGCAGGGATCCATGGGACATCTTAAACAGTGCCCACTATATGTTAGGCTATCTATGAACAAGACAAAGATGAAAGCATTTAGACGTTAGCAAGACATTGGTTCCAGACTCGTCTCCCTAAACCTTGCAACTCTCCCAGCCTCCGTATATTTATGAATTGATGAGTTAGTCTTTGGATACTGAGGAATCGGCTTCATCAGTGTGTCTCCCTTAGTATTCTTAGAACGACACAGTGGCACCCCATTAGAGAAAGTGAACCAAGAATTGCCTGCTTCACCAAGTTACAGACCTACTCAATAGGCGAAAGCAAGCAAGTTGAGAGCACCTTACTAAGCAATAGATATTTGAGTTTTTACCTTTTCTACCTTATGAGATGATTGCTTAAACCTAGAGTGCTCAGAGATGGTAACACATAGCTCAGAAGAAAGCTATTTTGGGGCTGGTGAGATAGTACAGTTGGTAGATAAAGTGTTTGCCACACAAACATGAGGACTTGAGTTTGAGTCCCAGCACCTATATAAACAAAACTGAGTATGGTGGTGCACACTTGTAATCCCAGCACTTCGGAGGCAAAGGAAGGTGGATTTCCAGAGCTTGCTGGCCAGCCAGGCTAGCCTAATTGGCAAGTCCCGGGTCTCAGTGAGATATCCCAACTCAAAAAATAAGATAGTTCCCAAGAAACAACACTCAAGGTTGACTTCTGGCCTCCACACACATATCCACCAACATGCACACATGCACACATACAAAAAAGTTTGTCATTGAATTTAAGAGAATGTAGACTCTAAGGGTCATACCTGGCTTTTAATTAGCTGCAAATTATTTCTTTCCTTATGATTAGTATCCAGTCATTTGAAAGGTAATGTAGCACTGTCAAGGAAAATGCTAGCATCTCCCAGCTAATCATAAATGTCAATAATTCATATTTTTATCGTGATGGGTTCGCTAGTCATCTTACTTGATGGGGTTAGTGAAGACTGTCCTCTTTGCTACCTTTCTCTTGGCTTTGCAGCATGAAATGATTCAAAATGAGTGGACCAAAAATAATATTAAGTGACTAATCCTAATTAGCTCCAAGGGAGCAGAAAGCAAGGACTTGCCTCTCTGCCAAATCTAAAAACATTCTAACTAATTTTTCTCATCTTTGTATAATCTACTTCTTTTATATCTATTTTGAACCCTCTAAAAACCTGAATTCCTAAAAAAGCAAGAATCTGAGAGGTTGTTTGGTTCCACTAGGAAGACAGAAAAGCAACTTCACGGTTTAGATTTCATCCTCAAAGGGTCCTTGCTTTTTCTCTGGATGGCAAAATGATATTTAGTTCCAAAAATAACTAACACTTCAGATCTCATTCTGTGGTAACTCAGAATAAAGCACAGCTACCGTCCAGTTTGGCCACATCAAACCATTCTTTGGTCCCATGACAGTGGCTCTTCCTAAAGTCATGGCAGCATGTTCACAAGCAACCTTTCTCCTATGGCACCAGCCCTGCCTGCTGTACTCAGCCTCCCTCTCCTGCATGGAGGTCTGTAGGAAGTGGTGAGGAAAACCAGACTTCCATGTGAGGCCCATGAAGTTTCCATGGCCAGCTAATGATCTTTTGCCCCTTCAAACCAATGTTCCTTAAATGTTAGTTCCACGCTTCTTTGGTAAGAAGGATGGAGTCCCTAAGCCTTAACATTGTGTTCATAGTAGATTCTCATAAGTCATTTACTTCTACTGGCTGAGAACAGTATCAATAATCTTAAAAGGGAAACTAATCAGGAAATTACCAGTTAAAAACATCTTCCTGCCATCCTTATTTTCAATTTGCTCTTGCCATTTCCTGAACCCTAGTCATGGTCCTGAAGGGCACAGTGAATATGCCAATCCTTCTAGGAGTCTGCATGATCTGTCTGTGTGTTTGCTGTGCAGGGTCACTATGAATGAAAAAGATAATTTCATGAATGCAGAAAATCTGGGAATTGTGTTCGGGCCAACCCTGATGAGACCCCCTGAGGACAGCACCCTCACCACCCTTCATGACATGCGGTACCAAAAGCTGATCGTGCAGATTTTAATAGAAAATGAAGATGTTTTGTTCTAATCCATCAGGGATGCGAGCTGGTAGAGCTAATAGAATAAAAACATTTCTTGCATTTGATTTGTTTTCAAACAAGTGACAGAGTTTCCTGAATCGTGGTGATTGTAGAGTTGGGGACTGTGTCTCCCTCCTCCACATGAAAGCAAGGGTGGGGGTGGATAACCCCTCTCACTTTGGGTCTTTTGCCGTGCCTCGTATGTGTGTCTGTTTTGCTGGGAGAGTGATTAATAAATCTTTCTTTAACTTATTAAAAAATGTAGACTTTTAAGCTTCAATCTTATCAGTAATAAAAGGGAACTTAATTCATAAAGGTACTTGATACAGTTATACATTTTCCATTTACAAAAAGAAGACAATTCTATATGTTAAATGTTAAATGAAACCTATATTGTAAAATGTATTTTATTTTAGCTCCAAGAATGTTATTTTATTTTAGCAAATAGAACTCAATGCAGTGCATTGATTATTACTGTGTACCTTGTCCTCCGTTCTTGCTCTGATGCCTGGAAAATATTGACCGCAAATGCAGTATTATCTTGACATACCTCTGTCTTGATCAGTGATTCTCAATGACGTTTCATCCATCACCTGTGTCCCTGCTTTTCATAGTTTTTGCTCCTCAGCACCAGTATTCTGCTATGACCTGGTGTATGTTTATAGTGACTATAAGATGCTCTAAAACATCCACAAATTTCTTTCCATAAAATGTTGTGATGCCCCAAAGGATGTTATGACCTTTCCATGTTGTGTGTGTCCTAGAACATGCAGAATGTGTCATTTTTACGTAGAGTGATTTGAAGACACTGGATGCATCTGGGCCACATTAATAAAAGCTAGCACTTTTCCTCCTTTTTATTTTCAGTCGCCCCCTTCAGATTTATATGTCAATGGAAAGTTTGAAATTTTTTTTTACCACATTTCTGTACTGATGAGGTGAACCTGCAGGATCATTTTTGACTCTTTTTTCTTTGCTTTTGTTTTATAAACATATTTTTACTGTCACAAATGAAAAAGATTCTTTTATACCAAATATTTGTTTCTCCTAGATAAAAGTTGCTCTGTATGGAAAATAATTTAATATGGTTTTATTACCAGAGTCTCATCCTATTGGTTATATATATCTTAGTGTGAGCCTTTCACACCAAGATTTCTATATTTTGTAACATAAGTGAAATATTTGAAACATCAAAAAGTGTAAATCTTTTTAATCCAGTTGCAATGTTTTCTGCTTATTGCTGGCGATGGTCCATGCACTGACTGGCAAGTCTTGATTTGGAGTCTCAGAAGAGAACCACTGTGTTAAGTGGAGGGAGAAGAGAGCAGAGGGCTTCCTGGCACCTCCCCAGGCCCTGCAGATGCAGTCTTGGCATCCGGAACTGCTCCTTGTGATCGGCATTTCTCACAACTATATGGGTTTTTGTTGTAGCTTCTGTACTTCTTGATACTGTCAAAAATTATCTGGAAATGGTTTTATTTTGTGAAGTGAATGATACTTTGTAATTTATGACAGTGTAAATGGAAGAAAAAGCATTCCATGTATTAAATGCTTCTGTCTATCATTTTGCAGTGTGTTTAGGGAGTGGTGTCTGGGGGCAGTGCAGGGAGATTCTTCAAAACCTTGGTTTCAGATACATTTGACAGTGGGTTTCTATCTTTACTATATACCACAGGAGAAAGCATAAGGATCCAAAGCATCCCTACCCACCCAGGCAACCCCAAAGCATTCCCACTGGGCAACACACTCCTCCATGTGCTTCCTCCTAGGCAGCCTGACAGGAGGTAAACACTCACTTTCGAAAGGCCCTGTGCCCCAACACAGCCATGAAGAGTTTAGAGAAAAATAACACTAGGGCATTTGAACAAAGGATAAGAATTTTGAAGTCAGAAAGTCCCAAGTTGGATTCTAGACCTGCCTGTTAGCAGATCGGATTGAAGGAACTGAGAGGTGGGAAGCAAAGAGAAATTGATCACCTGAAAAACTGGAAACATTCAATTTGTGACACTGTAAAGACTGTCTAACCTAACGTGATCAGTCATGGCTTTATTATTACTACCATTTTAAGAGCAACTTATAAGGAGAAAATTACCCATGGAATCATGGAAGAAAGTTACTCATGGGATCAGAGAAGAATGGTTTTATTATTATCATTTTAAGAATGAGTTAGAAAAGGAAAGTTATATGGGATTAGGAAAGAAAGAAACTTGAGGAGAAAAGGATTTGTCTTGGGTTAAACTGGAGTCCCAGTGACACTCAGGGATATCGTGGCTCCATCATGGGAGGGAGGAGGTTCCCTTGAATACTTTTCTCAAAAGTGATCCCAGCACTTGGTTCCCTCAGCCAAGCTTTAATCTGCAGTCTGCTCACCATGTCTGCTAGTCGCCCTGTCCACCTGGTTCCTCTTATCTGGCTCCACATTCCTGCCATTAGGATAACACTGACTACAAAGAATAAATGTGATCGTGTAGCCTGCCCACAGGTGATCCGTGGGAGCTGGAACGGGGCAGGTGAGGGGGAGAAGGCAGCAGTAAAGGTGGAAGGAGACTCCGTTTTCTTCTATTACCATAAGTGGGTTTTCAGGTGCCCTAGTCTTGACGGTGTGGGGGTTGTGTTTGGGGCAGAAGTCAACAGCAAATGGAGGGAGAGATGAGGTTGAGTCAAGGATGAGGAGACAGCAGCCAGCTGGAGGCTTCCTGGGCTGTCCCACCTCTCCTGAAAACCCTCTTATGCATTCCCAAACTCTTTCAATTCCCCATTTATGCATACTCTTTCATTTAAAATTGCAGCGTTTATTAGTTTCCAACATTTATCAAGCTTTCCTTAATGGGCCAGACTTTGAAAACTTGGAGGCAAGGAAAAGGCTTATCTCAAGGGAAACATTCAATAATAAGTTTAGTCTGGATAGAAAGAGGAAGCTAGTGACATTAAAGGTTTTGGACTCTGATATAAGAGGAATGGGAGCCACTGAAGTTTGCTTTACAGAGAAACACTTATTTCTGGAATTGTCTTATATTTACAGAAACGTTGCAAAGATGTCAGAGTTCCTATATATTCCTCAAACTGTGTCCTCCAATGCTGATGTCTTAAAGAACGACAGCACATCTGTCAAAACCAAAATGCATACAGCGTATTATTTCCTCTAAACTCCAGACTTTCTGTAACTTCCATAAATGTTTCCACTAATATAATTTTGTTGCTGTATTCCAGGATAGAAACCATTCATTCAGAGCTAGTAAGCATTGCCAGGGGGCCAATGAGGTGGTTCATCATGTAAAGGCACTTGGCACAAAAGCCTGTCAAAGTGAGTTAGATCCCAGAACCCATGAAAAAGGAAAGAACAAAACCAACTCTACAAAGTTGCCTTCTGACCTACATACATGTGCCATGGCACACTCATGAATCATACACACAAACAAGAGAAATAATAAATTAATTAATTAATTAATAATAAATAAATAAAAATAAAAGATGATTTAGGGCTGAAGAAATGACCCAATGGACAAAAGCCTTGCCACAGAAGCCTGATGACCGTAGTTTGGTCCCCAGAACCCACGAGAAAGAAGAAAACCTTCTCCTGAAAGTTGTTCTATGATCTACACGCACATGTAATGTGGCACATGTGTCCCAACACTCACACATATCATCATCATCACAATCATAATAATAAAAGTAATAAATGAGAAAGGAAGTATGACTTGCTTGGCTGTGCATGCATCAGAGACCATGGGGTCAGGTAGGGAACAGCAGGAAGTCAGGTGGATGTTTACAGCAACAAAACTGAGAAGGTCGTATCCTGGATCAGGCGGGGGTAAGACAGAGGTAATGACAATGGTTTATATTTGGAAATGAACTTGAGAAGCTCTCTTATAGATTGGATTTAACAATCCGACATGATGCCCTGGGTGTTCACTTCAGCAGCAATGCAGTGTTCACTGATACAAAAGACCCAACAACTAGGGGATACAGGGGAAGAGGAGGAAGAAAGGCTGAACCCGATGAAGTGGAAATACCTGTGATTTCCGAGTACAGGTGTTTTGTTAATTGCATTAACAGACCTGGGATGTTAATTTTGGGAGTGACTCACTGGGATTAATAAGTGAGAACACAGGATCGCATAGATGTACCCAGGAAAAACAAACAAAAATGTAGGGGAGGGCCCATGCGGACATCTCCGAAGCATCAACATTCCTCAGAGAGGAAGAAAAAGAGGAGAGAGGATATGAAGCCCACTTTAATGCAATAAAACTCTGAGGCATTCAAGAGTACTTCAGGAAGTATCCCATCTTGGGGATGAAGACATGGCTTAGTTGTTAACTGCTCTTGCAGAGGACCAGAGTTTGGTTCCCAGCACCCACATCAGGCAGCTCGCAACTGCCTGTAACTCTAACTTCAGATCTCCATGGGCACCCACGCATACACACATAAATAAAAGAAATTAAAATTTTTTATTTAATCTTTTTTATTGAATACTTGCAATTTTCATATAATATAATTTGATTGTATTTAGATCCCCTCCCCTATCTATATCTCCCTTTCTTACTCCCCACCCAAATTAATGGAGTTTATTAAGGCCTACAGAGTGTAACGTGTATCCCCAAATGTCCTTCAACCATGGGTCCAAGAGTTGCATCCTTGAAAGAGAATGACTCACCTCTTCCCAGAAGCCATCAGTTGCCAGTAATTGTTCAGGTAAGTTGGAGTTTATTGCCACTTCCCCATGTCTATGTTGGGATTTTGTCTGCTTTGAGCTTGCTGTCACCATTGTTGTGAGTTCATATGAGTAACTTCCCAGCTGTCTGGAAAACTCTACTTCCTTGCAGTCATCCATCACCTCTGACTCTTACAAACTTCCCACCACTCCCTTCCACAATGATTCCTGAGTTCGGGAGGCAGAAGTTTTATACAGGTGTCCTATTCAGGGATAAGCACTCTGCAGCCTCTTGTTCTCTGCATGTTGGCCAGATGTGGGTTTCTCTGTTATCACCATATACTGCATAAAGAAGCTTCTCTGTTGGAGCTGAGAGATGCATTAATCTGTGGGTATAACAATAAGACACTAGGAGTCAATTTAATACTGTATATTTTTAACAGAAAACTGGCATTAGGCTTTCCCCTATGTCCTGTGACCTGTCTAGCCTCAGGTTCCTAGGCCTGATAAAAATGTCAAGTATGGGCTCCATCCTATGAAGTTGACCTTAAATCCAATTAGAGGGTGGTTGATTATGCCCATAACATTCATGCCACTATGGCACCAGTGGGCATATCTTGCCAGGCCAGTTGTTGCTGTGTCTCACAGGATTCACAGCTGGATAAGGTTGATGATTAATTTTTCTCTTCAGGTATCATGCATAGTGCCTTCCGGCATGTGAACACTGGCCAGGAAAGGCGACGCTTTGTTTGTTCTACAGCTCATGTATGCAATGGAGTACCCTCAGCAATGGAGCCTCCTGTGGAGTTCTAGTGGGTAATCAAGAGCAGGGATAATGGTCAGTATTGTGTGGGTATCTATGGGACCCCCAGTCAACAACTTCAAGAGAGGAAGTCCATTCCTGGCATTGAGGTTTTATTTTGTTAGTCTATGGTATCTAGTAGGGGGCAATGACCCCCTGCTGTAAGGTAACTTCTTTTAATCCCTTTTTATAAGGTGTATGTATATACTTTAAGAAGCTTCTACAGTGGTAGATTTCCATATGGCTTTTTCTAAAGGCCTTTAGTGATGGTTATCCCTCCCCATACTCCCCACTCTGCCCTGCCTTCCCACTCCCTACCCCACTTAACCCTTCTTACTTTATTATTCCTCTTTCCCCTTTCATATCACTGCATTCTACCACCCCTCTTAGGAAGCCTTCCCACTCCATGACCGTTTGTTAGTTTCCTGATTTCTCTGGATTTTCAAATTAGATCTTGCACAGCTAAGATTTCAAAGTTAGTATCCAGCTATGAGACAATTGAATATAGGACGTTTGTCTTTCTGGGTTACCTCACTCAAGACGTGTGTTTCCGGTTATGTCTATTTACCTGTGAATTTCATAATTTTGTTTTTTTGAGAGCTGAATAATATTCCATTGTGTATATGTACCACACCTTCATTGCACTGCTGATGTAAATCACATCCAGCAGCAAAATTTTTTAGCTGCCAAAAATGTATAAGCTTCACATACTCTTCTTCAAAAGTTGGATATTTCAAAGTCTTCTTTAAGAATTAAGAAAATGTTACTGAAATATATTCTGGCTGCTCTAGTTGGCAAGCATACCAGTTTTTCCTGTGTCCTAATCTCTGAAATAAGTCTAATCTTGGTTTGTTGTTGTAGATCTGTACTCTGAAGACTGATACAATGACAGAATAGTTGCTTTCCTGGTCTCCCAGGCATTTTTCTAAGGGCCAGTTAATATCCTGACTGTGAATACTCTAAGCTGAATGTGAACTGTTTCATAACGAACAAAAATTAGTTCTGTGCCCAGGCCCATTCTTCCAAAACCAGTCCTGTGCCTGCTGGAGAAATTCAAGTTCAGACCATATGCTGTCAGGATTGGAGGATAGGAAGTCACAGGACTAGACCA